CTTCTCAAAATTTATATAAAATTATTTTAATTATCTAGTTATTATTATATGCATCGAATATAAAATTCAATGCGTATAATAAATTTTTTGAAATATTAATTATTTTTAGCGCTACTACAATTTGAATCTTCTATTTGTATGTTACAGATCAACATAGCGACCTTGACAGTCTGAGAGGAGGAGGAGGCCTAGGAGAGGCATCCTGCACCGGCGGAGCAACCCAAGGGTGAGTATTTATTATTTGTATTCTGTTTAATAAAAATCGCGTACGCGCATTAATTCGGTCTCATTATTTGAATGAATTAAACAAGAAAAAATTAGAAAGAAAGACTTTTACTTTTTTAAATCCAATAAATGTTTTTATTATTAGAAAAAACAGTCTTTTTAGAATTTATAAAATTATTATCATACGCATCGGATATAAAAGTTGGCATGTAAAATAATAATTTTTTTGAAATATTAATTATATTTTGGGCGCTGCTATAATTTGAATTTTATATTTGTATGTTACAGACAACGTAGCCTCAAGACCAACAACTCCGCTGTTGCGCATCAGTGCCGGTGAGTGACAAACTTTTATTTAATTTTAAAGTAACGGATTTGTAGAGATTGTAGATGTAGATTGTAGATTGTAGATTGTAGATTGTAGATTGTAGATAAATCCGTTACTTTTAAATGGATGAGCTAAAATAGATCAAGTTGAATAACTTTTAATAAGTTTCTTTTGATATGCATTGTATCCATTGCAAAAATAAATTAAAATCTAAATTATAAAAGAAAGCTTATAGAAAATATTTTTTTCCAATTTGTAAATTTTATCTGATTTATTAAATAAAGAACGTTAGTAATTTTATCAATTATATTATTTTATAATTAATTACGTGTGATGGTAATTTATTTTTATAATGCGCGCCAATCTTATCCTAATTTCTTATAGCTCATCCATATCGTAGAATTAGTTTTAAATTATATATTAATATATAAATTTTAATCAAATTTATATATTTATTATAATTTATCATAATTTTTTAATCAAAATTTTGATTGATAACTTGGTTTTGTCTCAGTTAAAATAAAGTTATATTAAAATGAATGTCTAACGAACGATCGTAAAATCACACGATCGTCATCGAGCGTAAAATGCTTACGCTCATCTGCCGATGATAATAATTATTCGGCAAAAGAAGGAGTTTATCTCCTTACGAGCGCAAGAAAAATCTTGCGCCTATTCGCCGGCGATAAAAGGAGTGCGTATCTCCTTTTTCGATCTCTGGTTAGAGATTGATTCAGAAAATGGCCAGGAGCAACGAAAGGTAAGTCTAACTGGCCCGAAGAATGGATATAGGCTACGTAAAATCGATGCACCAACCGATCGTTTTACCATGGCATCAAAAAGTGAATCTGGCTATGTAGTTCCGCCGGCTTTAAAATGAATCCAGTTAGCGCTACTGTACCAGCTAAGAAAACAGTTTCACGAAAAGCGGCGGCATGGCCGCTCTCAGGCTTCTCTCTGCTATTACCAAATGAGTTTCTTACTTTACCGATGGTTCGAAATTGATCACGTGATTGGTCACGCGCATTCGACAGTTTGTCTTTTTCGAACGGTTAGAGTCTAACCTCGTGTTCATGTTGTTGTTCCGCCAATTATTTTACTAGTAGAGAATCTATATAATTTGAACAAAATGACTGAAGAGAATACTGAAATTGATTGCGTATTACGACCGATGAATTGTGAGATTAATTTGCTGTCGAGGTCTGATGGTTCCACAATGTTTATGCAAGGTATGTAATAAACATCATCGTTATATAAATCTTTTTAATTTAACATTTTCTGATTTTTATTCTCCACCATGTATAGGCGATACCGCTATTATCGCAGGTGTAAACGGCCCCATGGAAGTAAGGAGCCAAAAAATGGCATACGATAAAGTTTCCGTAGAAGTTACATATACACCTCTTAAAGGCCCAGCTAGTAAGTTCATATGGAAATTGAAGTCTTTATGAATTACTGTTTCAGTGTTGTTTATCAATTATTACAGAGATAGATGACAGATTAATTGAAACGTATATAAGGGAGACTTGTGAATCTGCTATATTGGTTTCAATGCATCCTAATACCATGGTATGCATTAATTTGCAAGAGATGCAAGATTTTGGCGGGGTATGATCTTGTTTTATTTCATTATGTCAATGACAAATCTTTCTAGTAAAAGTAATGTGTGAATAAAAAGAAATTTAACTTTTACAGTTACTGGCTTGTGCTATTAATGCATCATGTCTGGCATTAATTAATTCAGGACTTTCTATGAAATACACCATTGCAGCTATAAATTGCATGATAGAAAAAGAAACAGGAAAAGTAATTATAGATCCCGATAGCACACAATTAAAGGTATCTATAATAGTGACAATTAGTAATAAACTATCTTTTCAATAATAACCATTTTTCATAAGAGTAATTTATTTACAGAATGCAAAGGCAGCTCCTTACGAGCGCAAGAAAATTACGAGCGCAAGAAAAATCTTGCGCCTATTCGCCGGCGATAAAAGGAGTGCGTATCTCCTTTTTCGATCTCTGGTTAGAGAGATCGATTCAGAAAATGGCCAGGAGCAACGAAAGGTAAGTCTAACTGGCCCGAAGAATGGATATAGGCTACGTAAAATAGATGCACCAACCGATCGTTTTACCATGGCATCAAAAAGTGAATCTGGCTATGTAGTTCCGCCGGCTTTAAAATGAATCCAGTTAGCGCTACTGTACCAGCTAAGAAAACAGTTTCACGAAAAGCGGCGGCATGGCCGCTCTCAGGCTTCTCTCTGCTATTACCACAGAAAATGGCCAGGAGCAACGAAAGGTAGGTCCAACTGGCCCGAAGAATGGATATAGGCTACGTAAAATCGATGCACCAACCGATCGTTTTACCATGGCATCAAAAAGTGAATCTGGCTATGTAGTTCCGCCGGCTTTAAAATGAATCCAGTTAGCGCTACTGTACCAGCTAAGAAAACAGTTTCACGAAAAGCGGCGGCATGGCCGCTCTCAGGCTTCTCTCTGCTATTACCAAATGAGTTTCTTACTTTACCGATGGTTCGAAATTGATCACGTGATTGGTCACGCGCATTCGACAGTTTGTCTTTTTCGAACGGTTAGAGTCTAACCTCGTGTTCATGTTGTTGTTCCGCCAATTATTTTACTAGTAGAGAATCTATATAATTTGAACAAAATGACTGAAGAGAATACTGAAATTGATTGCGTATTACGACCGATGAATTGTGAGATTAATTTGCTGTCGAGGTCTGATGGTTCCACAATGTTTATGCAAGGTATGTAATAAACATCATCGTTATATAAATCTTTTTAATTTAACATTTTCTGATTTTTATTCTCCACCATGTATAGGCGATACCGCTATTATCGCAGGTGTAAACGGCCCCATGGAAGTAAGGAGCCAAAAAATGGCATACGATAAAGTTTCCGTAGAAGTTACATATACACCTCTTAAAGGCCCAGCTAGTAAGTTCATATGGAAATTGAAGTCTTTATGAATTACTGTTTCAGTGTTGTTTATCAATTATTACAGAGATAGATGACAGATTAATTGAAACGTATATAAGGGAGACTTGTGAATCTGCTATATTGGTTTCAATGCATCCTAATACCATGGTATGCATTAATTTGCAAGAGATGCAAGATTTTGGCGGGGTATGATCTTGTTTTATTTCATTATGTCAATGACAAATCTTTCTAGTAAAAGTAATGTGTGAATAAAAAGAAATTTAACTTTTACAGTTACTGGCTTGTGCTATTAATGCATCATGTCTGGCATTAATTAATTCAGGACTTTCTATGAAATACACCATTGCAGCTATAAATTGCATGATAGAAAAAGAAACAGGAAAAGTAATTATAGATCCCGATAGCACACAATTAAAGGTATCTATAATAGTGACAATTAGTAATAAACTATCTTTTCAATAATAACCATTTTTCATAAGAGTAATTTATTTACAGAATGCAAAGGCAGAGTTTACATATGCATTTGACAGTATTAACAAAGATATCGTATGCTGCCATAGTGTCGGTCGATTCTTCCAAAGTGAGTTTTTAGCCTCTATGGATAAATGTAAACAAGTTAGTCAATGTGTATTTGATTTTTATAGGGAAACCACAAAAAAATATGCAAATACAGTATAATACCATCTTATTCCCACAAGCATCCTTTTTTTACTTTTCTTATCTTTTTTATTTAAAAAAAGAGATAACATTAATATAGAAATAATTGCTTTCTATTCAGTATCATTCAGTTGATACTACGATAGAGTATCAATTGCAGAATGGCATCTGCACAATCAACATATGATTGGGAAGATGAAGAAATTTATTTCTTTACCAACCATAAATAAGATGATATTATACATCATTTTATGTGACTTCTTTTTCTTGTATATTTTTTGTTACGTTATATTTAAACTTATAAAGTTTAATGTTTTCTTTATCGTATTTTTACTATTCGTAATTAAAGAAGGAAGTACATTTCTTAACTTCTACTGATATACATCTGATTGTACTGATATACACTTTAGTCTCTGCATGTTGCCAACAGAGGATGCAACACATCTCTTGATTTCTGCTGCCCTCTTGAGCAGCTTTTCTTTATGATACCTTTAAATTAAAACTCTAATTAATAAATAATTTAAATAATGAGTTTCACCTAATAGTAAGTAGCTTTTGCAAACAAATTTTAGATACTGACGTATTCAAAAATATATTCAAAAATAAATTTTTTGCATTAAAGTTAATATTCGACTACAGTAATTTTTAAGATATATTATAATATAATTAATTGTATTA